TCACCTTTTTAGATTTCTTTGCTTGGGTCCACGTTTACATCTGGTATTATTTTACTTCAGCACAAAGACTTTGCTCTGGCAATTCTTGTTGTTTTATGAGAAACGGTTTCTCTGTGTAGACCTGGCTGTCCTGGAACTCACTCTATAGGCCAAGCTGGCCCTGAACCCACCTGCTTCTGTCTCCCAAATGCTGGGATTAAAGACCTGTGCCACCACTGTCTGGCTTAGTATTTTTTATATAGGTTTTTATTAATTCTTGAGAATTTTATGTATGCACTGATCACATCAACTTTCATTCCTTCCCCTAACTCCTGCAAGATCTGCCCCAACTTCCAACTTTATGTCCTCATGTACACACACAAACAGATGATAGATGGATGGATGGATGGATGGATGGATGGATGGATGGATGGACGGATCTATCCCAGTAAGTCCACTTTCTGCTGCCCATATACACTTGGGCATAGGGACATCCATTGGATCATACCTTTGAAAAAAACAACCGGCTCTCCTTCCTCCTTCCTCACCTGTATATAGTAGTACCTCATTCTCATATTTTCTGGGCCTGAAATTTTTTAAACAGATTATTTCTTTCAAATTGTTTTCCCCCCCCTCCCCTTGGAACACCAGTTACGTGTGTGCTGCCGCACCGGCTGTCACACACATCACTATGCTCGTTTTTATTAACTGTTTTTCTTCTCCGCTTCATCTTGAGTGGTTTCTCTTGCTAAGTCTCCAAGTTAACCGGCCCTTCTTTCTAAAGTATTTAATCTCGCGTATTTTGTTTCAGAGATTCTATTTCTATCTGAGGGAGTTCTGTTCAGCTCTTCTTTGTATCTTTGTTTCCTGAGCCTTCTCAGGTTTTGCTCTGTGATGTGGAACCTTTGCGGTGCTTAACAGGTGCTTTAAGGTCTGTGCGAGCTAGCTGCCTCATTTCTGTTATCTGTTTCCATCGGACTATATTTTAAATTTTTATATTCGTGAGTCATGTTTATTTTTTTTATCATTAAATGCCTGGCATGTTTATTGGATGTTGCATGTGTTTGTGGGTGTGTACTCGCGTGTATGTGCACGTGAGGGGCCACATGAATAAATAAATGTGAGTGCATGCACGTGGAGAGGCCAGAGGTTGAAGTCGCATGTCTCCTCCAATTGTCTCCCGCTTTACTGTTTGAGACAGAGTCTTTCCTTAACCATCTGCTCCCTGATCCTGCTACCCTGTCTGGATAGCCCTGTCTCCACCTGCTCAGTGCTGAGATTATAAGTGCTCATGGCTGGGGCTGGAGAGATGGCTCAGGGGTTAAGAGCACTGGCTGCTCTTCCCCAGGACCCGGGTTCAATTCCCAGGACCCACATGGCAACTCACAGCTGTCTCTAACTCAAGTTCCAGGGAATGTGAGTACCTCACACAGACATACACGCTAGGCCAAACACCAAAAAATGCCCATAAAAAGGAATGCATAAATAAATAAGTGTGCATTGCCATGTTTGGCTTTTTTTTTTTTCTTTTTAAACATGGGTGCTGGGGATTGAACCCAGGTTTATACTAGCGCTGCAGGTATTTTACCAGCTCCTGGGTGATAGACAGTCGAAATTTTGTTTTTAGATCCTGCTGTGTTGCTAAAAAGAAATTGGGTTGTGTTGTTGAAAGAGTTGAATTTGTTGTGAATCCCTCCAGTCCTTAGTAGGCTTTTTTTTTTTTTCTTTTTAGCATTGTTAGGGCAACCCCCAGCACCCTTTGGACTTGGGTTCATTTAACTGTTAAGGGGTGACTCTCCTGAAGATTCGATTCCGTGTTCTGCCTGTCACGAGCCTCTCCACTCCAGCAGCTCCAGGGATTGCCCTGCCGCTGCCCTGTCCCTGGACACTTCTTCAGCTTCAAGGAGATGGAGTTCTCTCACTTGTGCGAAGGCCCGAGCTCAGAAAGACTCAGGCTTCCTCAGATTCCCTAAGCTCTTCCTCGGTCCTGTGCACTTTCTCTTGTCCATTAATCTATCTTACAAATTACAGCCACTGAGAACCCCTAAACTCCCACCCTTTTCTTTTCTTTTCTTTTCTTTTCTTTTCTTTTCTTTTCTTTTCTTTTCTTTTCTTTTCTTTTCT